CCTGCTGAGGATGAGACTTAGAGTGTGAGCGCAGTTAAGATGAGCAGGCAACTGTTGGTACTGACGGCAGCTCTCAGACTGCTGAGGTCAGCCAGTTAAGGACTGAAGCACATTCGCTGGCTGAAACGCGGCTGCGCGCAGTCGGGGTTGCCCCCTGGCATCTTCTGCCCTTTCACGGTATTAAGTTTGGTGCCTCCGTGGCTTGTAGAAATAAGAAGTTACGAGCGTTAAAGCTGCGTGCCAGCGCCGCAGCCTGGGGTTGGGAGCTAGAAGAGTTTTTTTGCAGTAGCGTGTTCATTGTAGCTGTAGGGAATGAAGGTGTTCAGGAAAGGACTGGTACATAATTGTGGCATGAGGAGATAGGGATCCGAGCTGTCCACTCGGATTTTGCTGGAGCAATAAGCCTGTTAGAGTTGTCTTGTGCCGTGCCTTTTGTATTTCGCCTCTGAAGATCTGTTTGCATCAGTGAGATGTGCGATATCCTTGTCAGCCTTCTGGAAGGATTAATGATGTCTGTGTGGGGAGCTGGTAGTGCCAGGGAACCCGGGATGGACAAAGCACGGAGCTGGTGGCACAGGAGCAGTAGAGGGAGCGTGCGCTGCTGCTGACAAGGTAGGCTTGCGTTGCATGTGCAAGGAGAGGGAAAGGGTGTCCAAACACATGTGCCGAAGTTGAAGAATAAGAAAGCTAAAAGTTAGGGTTGGATTAAAATGCCAGCTTTAAAGACAGTGTAAGGCATGACGCTTTGCTGAAATGTCCTGGCAAGAATACAGAGTGTGCATGTTTGGAAGTGTAGTTGGTCAGTGGTACCTTAACTGCCTGACTTGGGCAGGAGTCCAGCTGTGGTGCTTTACTGATTGGCTTTCAGCTGTGATGGGCAGGTAGGAGATGCCATAAGGAAATTCTCGTTTTATTCATGATTTTTTTTTTTTTGTGAATGGGCATGCCTGGGGTATGTGGCTTACTTTTAGGGGAGAGGTGGGGTTTTTTAGCAAGATCTGTGTTTGATGATGGTCCGTTCTGCCATCATCACGCCTGCATAGTTCTTTCACAGTGCCTTTAATCAATATTTTCATTTTGCAGACAGAAAATGGAGGTGCATTTCTGTGTATTTTGGTTTTCCTTGCTTTGTCGCTAAGCCAGCAGTATTCTGGAACATAAAACTATGCTTCTTGTCTTCCACTGTGCCTAAGCCAGATGGAGCAGGCTATTAGTACTTGCTACAGTACGGCTGCGCTGCGCGAGTTCCTGCTCCTGCGTTGGCTTGCGAAGTTACCCTGTGTTACCCAGCTTAAAGTGCTGATGATGTGGAGAATGCTAGCAAGGCTGCCATATGCAAGAAAGGGTCAAACCAGTCTGGTTTTAGATATGGATGGTAAAATGTCATCTTGGTTAATTATTAGTCTAGCTAGATTCTCCAGTTACTCATTTGGATTACTAATGATTGGGTGTTTACTCTTCTGGATGCCTATGACTTCTTCCATCTTGAGTCTCAGGCAGCATTCAGTGCTGGGAGGATTTCTTCAGCAAGAGAGTCATACCGGCCTTTTTTATGGCCAGTGATACCTATTCTCTGATGGAGAAACTCGCTAGCAATACTGAATGCAGTAGTGCTTAGCTTTTTGGAAAGAGCGTTGCCTTGCATGCAGTTTGTCTCCTGACCGTTTGCTCATTTTGGCAGATTTTAACTCCTGTGAGTTCCCAATATGCTTTTCTTCATAGCAGCAAAATATTTCCCCCCGAAAAGGGGGACAGTGTCACAGAGAAAGGTGGAAATGAGGGGCTGGGGATAGAGAGGGACTTCCTCTTTGCTGGTACTGTGCACTGAACTGTTTGTGAACTGTGGTATTGCATGCAGTTAGTAGATTTTGTTGGAAAGCTGAAGCGTGGTATTTATGTAGAATAGCAGCAACATCCTGAGCATGGCATACTTGCGTGCATCTTAGGGTGGTAATTGCCACGGATGCGTTTATTGCTCTGTATTCTGTCTGGTTTAAACTGCCCTTGGGTATTCATTCTGTCTTTGTGCAAGTAGAAGATTAAATTACAGATCACTTTGAAAAATGACAAATTGTAAATTAAGACGACTTTCTTTCTGTGAAAAGGCTTTTTGTTTTCTACCTTCC